AGGATGGTACAACATTTGAAAAATCCATCAATATCATCCACCACATCAACAAAAAGGACAAAAACAACATGATCATCTCCATAGATGCTGAAAAAGCATTTGACAAAATTCAACATCCTCTCATGATAAAAACTCAACACAATGGGTATAGAGAGCAAGTACCTCAACATAATAAAGGCCATATATGATAAACCCACAGCCAACATCATACGGAACAGCAAGAAGCTGAAAGCTTTTCCTCTAAGATCAGGAACAAGACAAGGATGCCAACTCTTCCCACTTTTATTCAACATAATACTGGAGGTCCTAGCCACGGCAATCAGACAACACAAAGAAATAAAAGGTATCCAGATTGGTAAGGAAGAAGTTAAACTGTCTCTTCAAATGACATGCTATTGTATATAAAAATCCTATGGGATTAAAGATTGCAGCGTGAGAGGAGAGACAGAAGCTTCCTCCTAAAACTGGATACAATTAGAAAATTTAATTGGTGGAACTAATCCTGAGAGAGCAACAGGAAAGAGGACAGCGTCAGACTGCACACACCTGGAGAAAAGAGCAGACCTCACCGAACGGGATAACGTACCAGAGCTGTGGCTCTGCGGGACCTGAGCCCTTCCCCCACCCCAGCTCACCAGCGGGAGGAAGAGAAACGGAGCAGGGAGGGAGTGGAAGGCCTGGGACTGCTGAATACCTAGGTCCAGAGATGCGCTGGGAGCACAAACCTACATTTCATGGTGCTTTCATGAGACTCACATGACTACCGGGTTGGAAAGTTAATACAGGCAGAGTTCCTGGGGAGACTGGGATTCCGGCCGCTTGTGGAAAGCAGGGATCTATATCCGGCTGCTCTGGGACAAAAACTTATACCTGTGTGACCGGCCCACTGGCTCAGGCAGTGGAGACAGGCACAGGAGCCGGAGGCGGGGAACAGCTCTTTCCTCCCCACAGGCACCAGTACTGCTCACCTGTGACCCCCAACATTGCTTCAGGGGCTGAGCAGCTCCAGAATAGAGTTGGACACTAGAGGGCACCATATACAAATATGAAACGCCAAAGGAACCTTGTCCACAGTAAAATTATTAATACAACTCCTGAGAAAGATTTAAATGATATGGACCTCGTGACTCTTCCTGAAAGGTAGTTCAAAATAAAAATCATCAACATTCTAATGGAGGTACAGAAAGACATCCTAGAACTCAGGAATGTATATAAAATCCCTAAATAATCTACTCCAAAACTACTAGAACTAATAGCTGAATTCAGCAAAGTTGCAGAATACAAAATACACAGAAATCTGTTGCATACCTATATACTAACGATGAACTAGCAGAAAGAGAAATCAGGAAAACAATTCCATTCACAACTGCACCAAAAAGAATAAAATACTTAGGAATAAACCTAATAAAGGAGTTGAAAGACCATGCCCTGAAAACTACCAGACACTCATGAAAGAAATTAAAGATAGAAAGAATATTGTCAAGATGGCCATCCTGTCTAAAACAGTTTACAGATTTAGTGTAATCCCTATCCAAATGGCATTCTTCAACAAACTAGAGGAAATAGTTCTAAAATTCATATGGGACTGCAAAAGACCCCCAAATAGCCAAAGCAATCCTGAGAAGGGAAATTAAAGCTGGGGGAATTACACTCCCCAACTTGAGCTCTACTACAAAGCCACACTAATCAAAACAATTTGGTACTGGCACAAGAATATACCCATAGATCAATGGAACAGAATAGAGATCCCATATATAAACCCAAGCATATATGTCAATATATGATAAAGAAGCCATGGATATACAATGGGGAAATGACAACCTCTTCAACAACTGGTGTTGGCAAAACTGGACAATTACATGTAAGAGAATGAAACTGTATTATTGCCTAACTCCATACACAAAAGTAAACTCAAAATAGATCAAAAGACCTGAATGTAAGTCATGCAACTGTTAAAACTCTTAGAAGAAACTATAGGCAAAAATCTCTTGAATATAAACATGAGAAACTTTTTACTTTCAGTCAGGTGAAACAAAAGCAAAAATGAGCAAAATGGACCACATCAAACTAAAAAGCTGCCGTACAGCAAAGGATACCATCAGTAGAACAAAAAGGCATCCTACAGTATGGGGGAATATATTCATAAACAACATATCCAGCAGGGGGTTAACATCGAAAATATAAAAAGAACTCACATGCCTAGAAACCCATAAAAGCTAATAACCTGATTAAAAAATGGGCGGAGGATCTGAACAGACACTTCTCCAAAAAAGAAATTCACATGGCCAACAGGCACATGAAAAGATGCTCCACATCACTAATTATCAGGGAAATCAAATTAAAACAACAGAAAGATATCATCTCACATCAGTAAGGATGGCCAACATCCAAAAGACAAGGAACAACAAATGCTGGCAAGGATGCTGAGAAAGGGGAACCCTCCTACACTGCTGGTTTGAATGTAAATTAGTTCAACCATTGTGGAAAGCAATATGGAAGTTCGTCAAGAAACTAAAAATAGAAATACCATTTGATGCAGGAATTCCACTCTTAAGAATTTACCCAAAGGAAACAAGATCCCTGATTCAAAAAGACATATGTACCCCTGTGTTGATCACAGCACTATTTACAGTAGCCAAGGTATGGAAGCAACCTAAGTGTCCATCAGTAGATGAATGGATAAAGTAGAGGTGGTATATATACACAATGGAATATTATTCAACCATAAGAAGAAAACAAATCCTAGCATTTGTAGCAACATGCATGGAGCTAGAGGGTATTATACTCTTTGAAATAAGCCAGGTGGAGAACAAGTACCAAATTATTTCCCTCATTTATGGACTATAACAATGAAGCAAAACAAGGAACAAAATAGCAGTACACTCACGCTCCAAGAGGGGACTAGCAGTCACCAAATGGGAGGGGTAGTGGAAGGAGGGTTGGGAGGGAGGGAGGGAGAAGAGCATTGAGGGTTGTTAATGAATGGCGCACATGGTATGGGGGTGGGGGTCACGGAAAAAACTGGAGCACAGAGAAGACAAGTAGTGACTGGGATTTTACTTCACTGATGGACAGTGACTGCAGTGGGGCATCGGGGAGACTTGATAATATGGGTGAATGTAGTAACCACAATTTTCTGAATGCGGATCCTTCATAAGAGTGTTTATCAGCAATACCTTAATAAATTTTAAAAATATTTTAAAAATTTAATTTGGGGAGTTGGTATTTTAAAAAACAAAAAGATTGGTTACATTTTGCCATAATACATAACTGTGTATCTTTCATTACTTCCAGATTTACATGGTATGTGTCTTAAAATCAAGGAAAGTAAAAGCTGTTGTTAAATGTCTTTTAAAGGAGTTTATTTTATCTAAACATTAGCTCTTTCTGTATCACCCTTCATGTAGATTATAAATGGAAAATTAGAAAAGTTTAACGGTTAGTTGATATTCTCATCAAAGCCAAGCCCAAAGTATTACATTACAGCTTCCTTTGAACAGAACCATGTAACTACATATCACACTACATACTCCTTAAACTATATTGACTAGAACTACCTACAACCATTTCTCGGAAGGTTTTTTGTGCATTTGCCACCAAATAGTAGTTCCTAAAGTGTGGTCTCCAGAACTGCTGAATCAGACACTGGATTCGAGCCCAGCAAGCTGTATTTAACAAGCCCTCCAGGTGATCTGATGCTCATTGAAAGTTGAGAGGCACTGCACCAACACATGGAATTCTTCTGCTTTTCCTGAAAAAAAAAATGTCCAATTAAAGTAGAGCTTTTGCATTCCTCCCTAGAGGAAAGGCAGCTTTTCATCCTTCCACATGGCTACCAGGTCATCTTGTCCTTGTCTTCCTTCATTGGCCGAACCCAGCACATGGTTTCAGTAGCTTTAACCAGGCCTAAGTGTTGCATTGTAAGGCACTGAGATCAACAGTCGGGACACCACGACCACATTGATGTTGCTGCTAACCCTGCCAAGCATGAATGCTCAAGTAATTTTCAGTTTATGTCAGCAGGTAGAGAATGTTCAGTAAAAATCTGATAGAGAGGAGTAGTCTTTTGAGACAAAATGAGAAGTTTAAAAATGGGAACAACACATAACTAGTATTTGTGTGTTGGACGAGCTGGCATATTTATAAGTTTTGAAATGAGAAGTTGAATATCAAGGAGGAAATATATGATCAAATAATTGTAGTAAACAATGATAGGAAGAGGAGAGCACTGCTTTAAAACTCATGTCAGGGCCTGAGTGTGGCTTTGAGAAACAAATGAACCTAATTCTGACTTTATGGAACATCTAAGTAATATTATTAAAGCTAATTTCAAAGCAGTTTTACAAAGAAAAATGACTAAGATACTTCCCACATTATTAATCTCTAAACTTTAAAAAACCCTGCTTTCTATAAAACAACTTTTTCCTCTTACCTCTTGTTGCCAGCTTAGTGGGAATTTTAGAGTATCAAGTAGGTCAACATTAGCTTTTTTTCAGTCATGTAATGACCATTCGTTACATTGCTCTTACCTAAGTGCATAATGTAATAATACATATACTACAGTAGCACACCTTTTATCATAAACTCATATACTCATTTTCTAAAATTTACTATGGTTTAAAACCACAAGGTACAAAAAGTTAGAATTGCATATGAGTAAGTTGCAATGAAGAAGAAAGTTCCAGGGACTCTGGAAATCTTAATGGAATCTGCATGGAACTTTTCCTTTTTTCAACTATGGAACTGCAGGCTTATATGGTTGGTTTAAGGACTGTAAAAGGATCTGTGTAAATAGTATCTTCCTTTTTCTTTAGAGGTGGTATAAACTATTATGTATGCCTTAATTTCCTGCAAGGTTTTGAAGCACCTGAGTTAATTTTAATACCGTAGATATATGTGGCCAGTGGTGGTTGTTTTTCTTTCTTAATGTATTTGAGTTTAGAAATAGTTTTATAGTGGTCAGCAACTACTCTAATATCATGTTTTCTTATTTCAAACAGCTAGTTAAAGGCCTTCAGCAAGAGCTGAATCGATTGTATTCCCTTTTCTGTTCTCGGAATCCAGACTTTGAAGAAAAAGGGGGTAAAGTCTCAATAGTGTCACATTCCTTGGGATGTGTAATCACTTATGACATAATGACTGGCTGGAATCCAGTTCGACTCTATGAACAGTTACTGCAGAAGGAAAAAGAGTTGCCTGATGAGCGATGGATGAGCTATGAAGAGCGACATCTTCTTGATGAACTCTATATAACAAAACGCCGGTAAAGTACNAACAATAAAATTCTGTATAGGGGAGTCAGTGCTCAATGCACAATCATTAATCCATCTCAAGCCTAATTCTCATCAGTCTCCAATCTTCTGAAGCATAACAAACAAATGAGAAGTTTAAAAATGGGAACAACACATAACTAGTATTTGTGTGTTGGACTAGCTGGCATATTTATAAGTTTTGAAATGAGAAGTTGAATGCTCAATGCACAATCATTAATCCATCTCAAGCCTAATTCTCATCAGTCTCCAATCTTCTGAAGCATAACGAACAAATGAGAAGTTTAAAAATGGGAACAACACATAACTAGTATTCTTACATGGTGAACAAATTCTTACATAGTGAGTAAGTTCTTACATGGTGAACAGTACAAGGACAGTCATCACAGAAACTTTCGGTTTTGATCACACATTATGAACTACAAACAATCAGAAGTACCCAGTCTCTTAAAATAATTTCAAATGTTTTTCGTGGAGTTACTGAGCTTCCTAGGAGAAAATGTTAAGATTTTCATGATAAAGAAAAAATACATTGTTCAGGGTACAAAGACTATAAGATAACATGCTAATAATCATCATCAAGCTAGAAACTAAATTTTCATGCTAATTATATGCATTTTCCCACAGCATAAAATACATTTATCATCTTGTTCTCTTTTCTTCACAATTTATTAGGAGTGAAACCTAAAACATTCTAAGCTGAGTTACTTACTACATAGAATTCTTATTGAAAATGTTTATCAGTCGTAATCCTTTGTAGTTTTATTAAACTTAGGGAGGGGCCTTTACTTTTCTTATTCTGAAAATAATTTTAAAGCCCTTTTCCCTTAGCATATATATTTTTGACATATTTTATAAGTTTGACATTTTATAACTACAACAAATATAAGTTATTTGATTGCTGGTAGCCTTCTTGATACTATATTTTAATTCTTTATGACTTTCTTATTTGCATGTATACATATTCTTATGTCTTTGTCCTCTTAATGATCATCTGATCAGTTCTAACAGTGAAAAGGCACTCATTTTGATAATTAACTATATAAAAATAACCAATTTAGTTGACTAAAATTTTTAATAAGTTTGGATTTTGTTTTGTTCATATTGTCTAAGGATTTCATTTAGAAGTTTATTAAGTACTACAGGCTAAATACATGTATTTTATGTCACAATAATTGGTAGTTTTGAAAAAAAATGTCATGTTTGGCAAGTCTCAGCGGCATTTTAGATATAAAATCCAGTAAAAAAATATTTTTTAAACAGGCACAGAAAATGAAGTGCACATTTTTTTAAAAACTTAGTTCCATTATTTAATATTTTATTCAATTTATAAAAAATTAAATATAAGCAAATATGGATGGGGAAAAAATTAACCCAAATGTCCATCATCAGAGAAGGGTTAAATAAACTATGGTTCATCTGTATGATGAGCAATTACACACATGGCTGTTATAAAGACTGAAGTAAATCAGGAGACAATTAAATGGAAAGATCTCTAAGATTTGTTACTCATGTAGAAAAGAGAAAGAACAGTGTATGTGGCATGAATATGTGGTGTCATGTTTTTTTTTCCTTCAATTAGGTTTATTGCATGTTTGTATTTCATATATGGATTTTCTATTTAAATTATATATACAAAAAATGAAAGCTAACATTTATATGTTCATCACCATGTGCTGGCCCTTGCTTTATGTATTTTTTTTTTGGTGTCATGTGTTTTTAAGTTGTATATATACTTACATTTGCCTCACATTTTACTAAAGGATCCCCCCAAAAAGTTATTAACATCAGTTATTAAACTTTTATAGATTTTCTGTATTACAGCAGGTACATTTTCTAAGTATTGTGAATAGAGATTAATTTGAGGAATTGGATAATGGATCATCTTCTTTATACCTCAATGAACTAGAAAGCATCTAATATTCATGAAATTGTAAATATAAATGTGTATATAATCTCATAACTGCTTCCTAGGCTGAGAGAAATAGAAGAACGGCTACATGGACTGAAGACATTGTCTGTGACACAAACACCTGCCTTAAAATTTAAGGTAAAGAAAGAGAGAAGTGAGATTTTCATTATTTATTTCAGGTTTTTTTTCAAACTTCATTTGAAGCATGACAGTAGGATTCCAAGGAAAGCTTTAACTATTCTTCTGTCAAATGAATGTTTATTGAACTCATTCTATGTATTGGACACTGCTAGTTTCTGAGTTCTACAAAGAAAAGAATGAACAAGATGGTCTGTCAGTTCTCAGGATATCTCAGGATATGTGACACAGTGTTATTGGTGCTATTAGCAGTATATAGATTTATGTATGCACTAGAGAGAGGTTGTAATTTTGCCTGGAAAGGCTTACAAAGAAGTGACATATGTACTCGATTTTAGTTATCTATAAACTAGGTACTGCCAACTGGAGGAAACAAGAAACAGCATAAACAAAGGCATGGAGGGTTATAACTTCATGGTACCGCCAAGAAACCACAAATAATTTAGAGTAGTGGGAAAAGGAAAAGGAAAGACAGATCTGGGAAGCATTTAATATTTAGAATTAACCGATCTTAGTGCCCAACTAGTTGTAGGTGGTAAGAAAAATAAATGGATGTGTCCGTGAAGATTCCAGGAATGGAAAGCTGACATTTCAATCAGTAAGTATATGACAAGAGCCATAAGATGAGGGTGTATGTGTGGTTAGGTTGGAGCAGGTTAGGCAAACCAGCAGACAAGGGGACTGGGACAGCAGGAAGAGCTGGAAATGAAAAACTTAACATTTGATGCGGGCATTGGAAAGGTTTTCCGGGTTTTTGAGCATCAGAATGGAGCTTTAAAAGCAGCATTCTTACATTGGCAGAGATGTCGATATTGACGTGAGGGTTGGAAAGGACAAAACCTACAGCTGGAAACAAGTAACTCGTTTGCAGTGTGAAAGGGAGTATGCTATAAATTTCCTAATACACATTTCCTGTTGAATGTATTCCCCGTGTCAAGTGTACTATATTGTCTCTTCTTGAAATGTTTCCTTTATCACAGGAACTTAGCATGCAGGTTAAATAATGAAATAATACGGAAATTCTCTTTAAAACAGTAAGAATTTTCATATTGAATCTACCTCTGTGACTTATAAAGTTTTTTTTTTAACTTACACATTTAAAGTCCATATGGTACAGTTCCAACATACATTTAAAAGCCATAAAAGCATAGTCTTTGGAGTCATCCTCACCTGGAATTTGAGTTCCATCCCTTTCACTCTTACTATACATAATCAATATGTTAAATATATAGAATTAATCTGATAGAAAAAAGGAAACTTTTCTATTTCATGTCCTGGGTTTTTTTACTGGAGACTTGTATATTATCCACTAAACATATTGGGATCTCAAAATTCAGTATCGCATTACCAGAACTCATACATTGTAATTGTGTATTCTTCTAATACACAGTCATATATATTCTAATACTATGACTTTTTAGTTATATAGTTACTCAGAAAAAATATAGAAATGTGAAATTTAAAAAGAAATATCTGATGAATTGGCAAGTTAATATTAAGGACTCCAGAGTTCTAAAAGGAACAGAAGTCTTTCTGTGCCTATTAACAAGCAGATGGATTTACTTTCAGAATACAGGTGTCAGCTCTGTTATAGGTGACTGCTGAAAACTTTTTTTTTTATATCGTTAATGTACAATTACTTGAACAACATTTTGGTTGCTAGACTCCCCCTATTATCAAGACCCCCCACATACCCCATTACAGTCACTGTCCATCAGCGTAATAAGATGTTATAGAATCATTACTTGTCTTCCCTGTATATACTGCATTTCCCGTGTCCCCCTCCCCCCGAGACTACATTATGTGTGCTAATTGTAATGTGCCTTTTTCCCCCTTATCCCTCCCTTCCCACCCATCCTCCCCAGTCACTTTCCCTTTGGTAACTGTTAGTCTGTTCGTGGGTTCTCTGAGTCTGCTGCTGCTTTGTTCCTTCAGGTTTTTCTTTGTTCTTATACTCCATAGATGAGTGAAATCATTTGATACTTGTCTTTCTCCACCTGGCTTATTTCACGGAGCATAATACCCTCTAGCTCCATCCATGTTGTTGCAAATGGTGGGATTTGTTTTCTTCTTATGTCTGAATAGTATTCCATTGTGTATATGTACCACATCTTCTTTATCCTTTCATCTACTGATGGACACTTAAGTTGCTTCCATATCTTGGCTATTGTAAATACTGCTGCCAAAACATAGGGGTGCATCTGTCTTTTTCAAACTGGGCTGCTGCGTTCTTAGGATAAATTCCTAGGAATGGAAATCCTGGGTCGAATCGCATTTCTATTTTGAGTTCTTGAGGAACCTCCATACTGCTTTCCACAATCGTTGAACTAGTTTACATTCCCACCAGCAGTGTAGGAGGGTTTCCCTTTCTTCGCATCCATGCCAGCATTTGTTGCTGTTTGTCTTTTGGATGTTGGCCATCCTAACTGGTGTGAGGTGATATCTCATTGTGGTTTTAATTTGCATTTCTCTGATGATTAGCGATGTGGAGAATCTTTTCATGTGCCTGTTGGTGATCTGAATTTCTTCTTTGGAGAAGTGTCTGTTCAGATCTTCTGCCCATTTTTTCAATTGGCTTATTTGCTTTTTGTTTGTTGAGGTGTGTGAGCTCTTTATATATTTTGGATGTCAACCCCTTATCAGGTATGTCATTTATGAATATATTCTCACATACTCTAGGATGTCTTTTTGTTCTACTGATGGTGTCCTTTGCTCTACAGAAGCTTTATAGTTTGATATAGTCCCACTTGTTCATTTTTGCTTTGTTTCCCTTGCGTGGGGAGATATGTTCATGAAGAAGTTGCTCACGTTTATGTCCAAGAGATTTTTGCCTATATTTTTTTCTAAGAGTTTTATAGTTTCATGACTTTCATTCAGGTCTTTGATCCATTTTGAGTTTACTTTTGTGTATGGGGTTAGACAATAATCCAGTTTCATTCTCTTACATGTAACTGACTAGTTTTGCCAACACCAGCTGTTGAAGAAGTTGTCCTTTCCCCCTTGTATATCCATGGCTTCTTTGTCATATATTAATTGACCATATTTGCTTGGGTTTATATCTGGGCTCTCTATTCTGTGCCACTGGTCTATGGGTCTGTCCTTGTGCCAATACCAAATTGTCTTGATTACTGTGGCTTCATAGTAGAGCTTGAAGTCAGGGAGCATAGTTCCCCCTGCTTCATTCTTCCTTCTCAGGATTGCTTTAGCTTTTCGGGGTCTTTTGTCATTCCATATTAATTTTAGAACTATTTTCTCTAGTTCATTGAAGAATGCTATAGGTATTTTGATAGGGATTGCATTGAATCTATAGATTGCTTTGGGCAGGATGGCCATTTTGACAATATTAATTCTTCCTAGTCAAGAGCATGGGATGAATTTCCATTTATTAGTGTCCTCTTTAATTTCTCTTAAGAGTGTTTTATAGTTTTCAGGGTATAGGTCTTTCACTTCCTTGGTTAGGTTTATTCCTAGGTATTTTATTCTTTTTGATGTAATTGTGAATGGAATCGTTTTCCTGATTTCTTTTTCTGCTAGTTCATCGTTAGTGTATAGGAATGCAACAGATTTCTGTGTATTAATATTGTAACCTGCTACGTTGCTGAATTGAGATATTAGATCTAGTAGTTTTGGAGTGGATTCTTTAGGGTTTTTTATGTACAATATCATGTCATCTGCAAACAGTGACAGTTTGACTTCTTCCTTGCCAATCTGAATGCCTTTAATTTCTTTGTGTTGTCTGATTGCCATGACTCGGACCTCCAGTACTATGTTGAATAAAAGTGGGAAGAGTGAGCATCCTTGTCTTGTGCCCCATCTTAAATAAAAGCTTTTAGCTTCTTGCTGTTAAGTATAATATTGGCTGTAGGTTTGTCATATATGAGCTTTATTATGTTGAGGTACTTGCCCTCTATACCCATGTTGTTGAGAGTTTTTATCATGAGTAGATGTTGAATTTTGTTGAATGCTTTTTCAGCATCTATGGAGATGATAATGTTGTTTTTGTCCTTTTTGTTGATGTGGTGAATGATGTTGATGGATTTTCAAATGTTGTATCATCCTTGCATCCCTGGGATGAATCCCACTTGATCATGATGGATGATCTTTTTTATATATTTTTTTAATTTGGTTTGCTAATATTCTGTTGAGTATTTCTGCATCTATGTTCATCAGGGATATTGGTCTATAATTTTCTTTTTTTGTGGTGTCTTTGCCTAGTTTTGGTATTAGAGTGCTGTTGGCCTCGTAGAATGAGTTTGGAAGTATTCCCTCATCTTCTACTTTTGGTAAACTTTAAGGAGCGTGGGTATTAGGTCTTCACTAAATGTTTGATAAAATTCAGCAGCAAAACCATCTGGTCCAGGTGTTTTGTTCTTATGTAGTTTTTTTATTACCAATTCAATTTCCTTGCTGGTAATTGGTCTATTCATATTTTCTATTTCTTCCTGGGTCAGCCTTGGAAAGTTGTATTTTTCTGGAAAGTTGTCCATTTCTTCTAGATTATTCAGTTTATTACCATATAATTTTTCATAGTATTCTTTCATAATTCTTTGTATTTCTGTGGTGTCCATAGTGATTTTTCCTTTCTCATTTCCGATTCTGTTTATGTGTGTAGACTCTTTTTTTTCTTGATAAGTCCAGCTAGGGGTTTATCTATTTTGTTTATTTTCTCGAAGAACCAGCTCCCACTTTCTTTGATTCTTTCTATTGTTTTATTATTCTGTTTTGTTTATTTCTGTTTTAATCTTTATTATGTCCCTCCTTCTACTGACTTTGGGCCTCATTTTTCTTCCTTTTCTAGTTTCATTAATTGTGAGTTTAGACTGTTCATTTGGGATTGTTCTTCTTTCCTGAGGTAGGCCTGTATTGCAGTATATTTTCCTCTTAGCACAGCTTGGCTGCGCCCCACAGAGTTTGTGTTGTTGAATTATTGTTGTCACTTGTCTCCATATATTGCTTGATCTCTGTTTTTATTTGGTCATTGATCCATTGATTATTTAGGA